CCGCCTCTGCCCTCCCCTGCGCGCTGCTTCCCCCGCCGCTCCCCTCCCTGGATCGCAGCCAGCGCCTCGGGCTGCCCCGCGCACAAGGTTCCCGAGCTCCAGGCGCGGGGCAGCGGCGCCGCCCTAGCCGAGCTGGATCCTCTTGGCCCCTGGGAGCAGAAAGGGCTTGGGCTGAGCAGGGGGAGACCCGGAGTGCGCCGCTCCGGTCTATTGGGTTCACCGAACCTGGCGACTTGCGTGAGGGAGGAGGCGACCGGGGGGGGGGGGGGGGGAGGAAGAGGGGGAGGAGAGGGAGCAATGGTGCGCGAAGGTGGCCGCCAACTTTGCCCCAGGCCAGTCGTGCCCTCTTCAGTGATAGCGGCTGGCCGGTGGCCCGGGGCGGGTGTCTGGAAACGTTGCGGCGACAGAGCCTGGGAGGGGGTAAAAGGGACTGCCGCTGGGGACTAGGAGGACAGGAATTAGCCCCGGACTGTGGAAACGATGGCTTTCCTTGGTCCTAAAAGGCTTCCCCAGGCTTCAGGTCGCCTTGAGGTTCAGAAGAACCCACTCTGTAGGTCCAGAGAAAACCCAAGTCCTGACCAGCAGGACCAGGAATAAAGATAGAGGCGGGCGGTCACGACGTCGGTACTCTGAGACTCAGCCTGCAGCTCAGACTTAGACTGCTGTAGGTGCACTGCGGGTGGCCTCATAGTAGTTGCGACTAGAAAAAAACTGGGGTGGCGGAGCCTCAGGGCTGGGGGTGGGGCAGAGTGGTGGTTTGGAGTAGGTCGAAGGGAACCGTAGCAGAGCTGCCTACGAAGACAATCTCCATTTCAAACGTTGAGGAATCAAGCGCGAGTGGGTGTGTTTTCGTTGTAGATTTAACAGGGAAGGAACTAGAAAATGTGCCAATAACAGGATCAAAAGTTGTTTTGTCTGTGCGACCCCCTTTCAACAACTGTGGAAGACTCTCTGTACTTCAGCTCAACCAAACCCAGGCTTTTGTCCCGGGGGAGTCGACACTGCTTATCCCCTAGTTCTGTAACTAGTTGGGTTAGCTTTCTCAGACAGAGAGTCCGCCCCCTGTCTGAAAAAGTGGACTTTCCATCTCCGGATTTGGAAGTGGCTCTGGTCCTTCCGGAGAGCCCTCTGCAGCCCTTGGCTCCCATGGACCCTCGGCAGTTCCTAGAGGATAATCTCATTAAAGTGACATAGGAAGGAGGCTGAGCTGATTAATGAACCCAGGTGTGTTCACAGCGGCTCCTCGCTTCGGTTCATCGGAAGGTCTTTACATCTAAATATCACACCCATTCCCAACTCTGCAGCAGCTAGGTGCCTGGCTTTCTTCCTCTGGTTGCTCTTAGCTGTGGGCAGAACTGTTACCTGGGATGGCCTGAAAAGGACACTGTGAGGGTCCCCCATTGAGCAGCTCTTAGACTGAAGGGGAATGTCAACCCTAAGTAGAAACACCATTCAGTCTCTGCTTCCTGAAACGCACACTCTCTACTGTCCTCTGAACTGCTAGGCTGAGCATATGTTGTTAAACCCACGTGAGGCAGCGAATCAGCACGGCTGTTTGTCAGTTGAAGAAACTGAGGCTTAAAAGATTGGGAGCCCCATGGCTCCCAGACTCGTGAGTCACCCACAACTATACTTCATTTTCTCTATATAAGGCAGCGCTTTCTTATCTAACTCACAGAGATCTGTCTGCTTCTGCCTCCTGAGTCCTGGGATAAAAGACTTGAGCCACCATCGCCAGGCTAAGGCAGTGCTTTCTTGATAGCCTGTCTTGAGATAGACTTTAGAGGTGGGTTTGGTCAGAGCACCTGCCAGGTTTACAACTGCTTGAATTTTAAGTAGAATTTCCCTACTATAGTAGGCAAGTCATTTGCAGGATGTAGTGGTAAGCCTGACCACAGGTCCCCACTGGCTCTCTTTTTCTTCTGAACTGAGAGCAGAAGGAAGAAGGTGCTTTGGCAGTGGCCTCTAGGGTTGAGTCTCTGTAACCTGTTTCCATGAATTAGGGACTGTTAACGGTTTCCAGTGGGCGCTTTACTAGGCCGGTCCAGACCATGTGAACACAGAAATTTATCCATAGATTGACAGTTTTATCTGGCCTTTGGGTTGCCTGAATGGCTAGGTAGATAGATAGATAGATAGATAGATAGATAGATAGATAGATAGATAGATAGATAGAAATGAATAGATAAATGAAGTGTGTGTGTGTGTGTATGTGTGTGTGTGTGTTTGGATTTCTGAGAAAAAGGATTTCTAACGCTCTATTTCCCTTAATCTGCCTTATCTACTTTGCCATTTAATATTTTACCTTCTAATTGTGGAGTGGATGTCCACCTCTCAATTGGAGGGTGGCCTCCTAAAGTGACTGTATTTTATACTTAGTACAGCTCTTTTTTGGTCACACCCCAAGTCTTGAGCAAATATTTAATGATAAGTAATTATTGAAGGATAAACCTACACTGGATTGTGCTGTCTGTTATTCCTTTGCGGTGCCTTTAAGGACTAACCACGCCCACTCCCACCCACTTCTGACCTCCTGGTCGCCATCTTAGCCTCTCTTCTGTCTGTCTCTTGGCGTGTATACACGTGTCTTTGTCTCTCTCTATGTTTGTCTTTATGTCTCTCTTTTTTTCTCTTCTTTAAGTAATAAGTATCTCCCTCTTCTCTAAGTAATAAATGTTTAGCTTTATATATAGCCTTATGTCCATTTACTCTGTCGTTCACCGCATCCAGCCGCCTGACTCTGCCACTTGCCCAGGGACCCTACACTGCTCTGGCGGCAGCCTCTGCCTGCGTCGCAGGCTGCTGGGGCATCCCAACCTATCTTCTTTTTAAAGAACAAAACTGTCAAAGGTAGAAGTCAGAGTAGGGGACAGCTCAGTGGTAGAACACTTGCCTATTGTGTATGAGGCTCTGGGTTCCACTCCCTGAACCACAAAAAGAAAAAAACTGCTATCTATTAAAGAAAAAGAACACTTTGGAAAAACAATTTATACGCTGTGTTAGCTGTTTTGACTTGCTATAACTCTAATTATTATTTGCCCCGTGCTGATCATTTAGCTTCCGGATCCCAGCTAGCTGCTGTCTCCTATTGAGAGCACTCCCCTCACCTCGCGCTGTGAATATCCGGAAGCACACTGAGACTCACACACAGTTATGCCATCCAAATGAGCCTTTCATTTTGTTTCAAAAGAAATCTACATTTCTCAGTCAGGAATCATGTGTTAACAGGGACACCACCTGTTCCTGGCAGATGACAGAACACCTCAGTTGATCTGGCATACTGGCACACATGTGGGACAATTTTTCCTACATGCAAAGCCCTAGCTGCTGTTGGGAACGTGATGGTAGCTCCTTTGCTATACTGTAGCAGTGGAATAAAGGCTTTCCAGAAAGTCAGGGAAGAGCTGTCAGGATCAGGTTGGAACCGGACACCACAGAAATTGCTAACCTCCTGGAAATTGGCTACCCTTCTCAACAATGCTTATCTCTTAGAGGAGATTACAGAATGCTCAGAGCTTTGGGAGGTGAGTGGGGCCAGTTCCTGTGTTGTGAGCGACTGTCACTCAGGTGCTGAACAAGCTGTCAAGCCTCTGGGTAGCAGAGATAGGGACATGATAAAGAGAACACAGATTTAAGAGGGTTTTTTTTTTTTTTTGCTTTTTAAATTTTAGATAGAAGACATTTCTAAGTGTGTACTCACTAAAAAACTTTAGAGTTTAGGGTTATGCAGAGTGTCAGGATATTTGTGCCTCAGGTTTAGGTGTCAACAACATTCATTCAGAAAACATCTTTAGATTATAGGTAGAAAGTTTCAGCCTCCTCATGCTGATCAAAACGGCAAAGGAGATGAAATCAGATTGTACCCAGTTCCAAAGCTGTGCCACTAACTAGGGTTTTGTTTGTTTTCCTCTTCTCCCTTCAAGATCTGTTATTAAGTTGTCTGTATTGAGCTTCGGAGATTCAAGAATCAAAAAACTGGCTGTCTTGTTAAAATTAAATCTTATTAACTTGGAGGGTAGAAAGATAGCCATTGCAGTGATTGATATGTTAATAAACGTGGTGGCCAACCTCTACAGGGGGCATGGATTGCTATCAAACACAAAGTGAAAAATTCTAACTCTTAAATAAAAGTCTGAGGGCTGGAGAGATGGCTCAGAAGACTCTCTTACATCAAGAAGTTAAGAGCACTGGCTGCTCTTCCAGAGGTCCTGAGTTCAATTCCCAGCAACTACATGATGGCTCACAACCATCTGTAATGATATCTGGTGCCCTCTTCTAGCATGTAGGCATACATGCAGACAGATACTGTATATATAATAAATAAAATCTAAAAAAATAAAATAAAATAAAAGTCTGAGACAATATTGGCATGGATTTAGGACAGGAAACAAAACGAAACAATGTCAGAATGTTAGTTGGACGGGGCATCATCCAGCCAAATACTTGGTATGCCAGCTGAAGCTGTTGCAGAAGAGCTAGGACTTGAGTGTGGTCAACTCCAGGTTCAGCTCCACAGTGGTCCAGAGTTTTCAGAGCTCACTTACAATAGG